TATACGAACTTGATAATCTTAGAAGGAGATATGGTGTCGTCTAGTGTAAAGAGGGTTGACATTGTGTTTGATGCAACCAAACTTGGAGAAATCTTGCATATACCATCTGTGGGAATAAATGAGTACAATTGGGGTTTTGATGAATATTCTAGCCTGCCAGCCAAATTCTCTCAAGGTAGAGTCAATTCTAGGGCTCAAACTGTTTTAAAGAGAATAATGAGATCTTTGCATAAGCCTCTTTTCGAGATAGTTCATAAGGTGATACTTCCTAGAGGTCACCAACGTCACATTGCCTCCATAAGAGACATGGGACTAACGAATGCACTTGAGTGCAAAGAAAGCATTGATTGGCCCACACTAATTATCAAACATCTTGCTAGAATTGTGGATCCTAAGCTAGGTTCTCATCAGTTAGATTTTGGAAACTTGTTGAATAGAGTGTTTGATTCATTTGAAGTACCATTGGGAGAAGGCAGGATTTTAACTTGTGCAGATATGTTCACTCAAACCATCCTTGCTGATTGTGGCATTCCCATGGAGTCGGAGCAGGTTGCAACTGCGTCTCCACGTACATCTGGTCCTGTTGCTCAGTTACTCAGGAAACTTAAAGTAGCTGAAGAAAAGAACGCCAATCTTGAGTCAGAAAACCAGAAGTTACATGCTGAGCTTGATTCTTCAAATGCTGAAATACACAGGTTAAAGGATCAGTTGGTGCAGCAGCAACTTGCTAACAACGGACGAGTTGACAGAGTTTTGGATATGCTGGCTTCTGCTTCAACTAAACCTGGTCAACCTCCACATTGAAAAATCATGTTGTTTGAACCTGGTTCTCTTAGTTGGTTTCACTTTGTATTGTTGCTCTTTGTTTTGTTGCCAGAACATTTTATGTTGCTCAACTGGCTGGGCTTATTTTGTTGCTATGGATGTTGATTGGATTTGTTTAGCCGCTGTTGGATTCTTTTTGATTCGTCAAAAGGGGGAAGAGTATTTGCGCATGCATCACACGTTACACGTTTGTCTTCATCAACAAGGGGGAATATGATAGAATCGATAATTCATGTTTTGATGATAGACAAGAAGTGCAAAGAACAGTAGCAAATGGTACGCAGCAAAAGAAGTCAAGCTAGAGTCCAAGATCAAGTAAAATGGAGTTATTTGTCAAAGCCAAAATTAATATATTAAAGGTACATACAAATAAGGAAAACCTTAAATATATTATTAAGGAAGGAAGTTGTATATAATAAGAATTGTACTTTAAAAAGGAATCCTTATGTAACAATAACTTTCTTACCTTATCTGATAAGGATTGTACAAGGCAAAATAAACTCTATAAGAAGAGCACGAGGCAGAGGAAGAAAGGCACGACTTCATATAGAGAGAAAAGGGAGAATTATTCATCAAACTGAAGTCTTCAAGATTGATAAGTTTACTACGTTTAAAACATTCTTGAGTGAGAAGGTTTTTAACGTGTAGAACTGTTTTCTTGTTTTGTTCTTGATTGTAATTTACAGTTTATTGTACAAAGGGTGGGTTTGGCTCTTTGTAGGGTTGAGTGTTAGTAAGAGTTGTAACAAAAGGTGGGTTTGGCCTTTTGGAGAGATCGATTGGAGTCAATCGAGGTGGTAATAGAGATAAGGCTTTTGATTATTGAGTTGTAATCACAAAATCTTATAGTTGAATTAATAAAACGAGGTTTTTCCTTCCTTGAGCGAGGATGGTTTTAATTCAATAAGTGGTTGTGTCTTTACTTAAAAGCAACTTACCTTGTTCTGGGGTAAGGTTTCTTCAGTATTCTCTCTTGTAATATTTCACTTGTATTCTTTGTAGAGTGAAATAAATATTAGTGCAGTTGTTCTTTGGTGCATGTGAGATCATTTTGATCTGAACCATGTTAAATACTGTTGTTCTTCCTTGTTCTTTAATTTCACATTTTCTCTAACAATCGGTATCAGAGCCAAGGTTCTGTCTGAGCATGTTCTGTTGTTGCAGCACAATCTGAACTTCCACATCAAGAAAGAATTACTTTGGTTTTTTTGTAGTTCCGAATACATTATAGTAGAAAAGGAAGAACAAGTAAATATGAGTTCCATGAAGTTTGAAATTAATAGATTTAGGCGCAACAACTTCAATATCTGGAAGATCCAGATGATGGCGTTACTACGGAGGGAAGGCTCAATCCATGCTATTGATGGAAAGTATTTTGATAAGATATCGGATTTTGACAAGGAAAAGATTGAAGGAGATGTATTGAGTGCAATCCAACTGTCCCTTGCACCTAACGTACTTTGTGAAATGAGTACAAGTACCGAAGAGACGACCAAAGAGTTATGGGAAAAGCAAGAAGGGCTTTAGCAGGACCAGTCAGTTACAACACGGATGTTGTTACAACGGTGTCTTCATACATTTAAGATGGATTCACGTACTTCGTTGCAAGACCATATAGATGCATTCAATAAACTACTGATGGACTTACAAACTGTTGGAATTAAAAACGACGATACACTTGCATGTTCTTTGATATTTTCATTGACTTCAAAATATAGTGATATTGAGAATTCAATGATGTATAACAAACAACCTATCAAACTTGAGCAAGTGTGGCAAGCACTTAACTCTTGTGATGTGCGAATGCATTTTGAAGGAGACAAAAGTAATGAAGCTAGTGGACTCTTTGTAAGAGGTCGTACTAGAGCCGTCCGCTTGGCGGGCGGAGTGCTGGTTATCCTGAATTTTTTCTCTGCTGGGGCCCTCCCATTGCTATAGCCATAAGATATGGAAGCTCCAGCTCGCAACCACATGGAAGGAGAAAATCGAAGTACAGATCAAAATCTCATGTGAACAAAAAGAATGCGGAGTGTTGGGGCTATCACAAGAAGGGGAACTTTGAACGAGATTTCCCTATGCCAAAGTCCAAAGAAAAGGTGAGTGCATCAATTGTTGAGCAAGTACATGATAATGATCATGATTATGTACTAACAACATCATACAATAGTAGAATTTACGACAACAAATGAGTCTTAGACTTTGGTTGTACTCTACATATGACATTCCGAAAAGATTGGTTCAGCAGTTATAAAACTGTAGTAATGGACAATAATGCAACTTGTAAAATAGATGGCATTGGTTCAGTTCGTGTTCGCTGCCATGATGGAACCGTGAGGACTATTACAGAAGTCCGTCATGTTCTCGATCTGAAGAAGAATTTTATCTCCCTAGATACTTTTAGATAAACAAGGCTATAAGTACATGAGTGAAGGAGGAACAATGAAAGTGACTAAAGGGTCTTTAGTCATGTTGAAGGCCAAGCTGGAGGATGGCCTTTACACACTTGAGGGAAGCACCATTATTGGCTCTGTAAATGCATCTACAGTGCAGTTATCTAATGATGACAAAGCAAAATTATGGCACATGAGACTAGGTCATATGAGTGCACGAGGATTTGAGATGTTGAGCAACCACAACCTTTTGAATGGTGAGAATATCAACAGACTTGAATTTGTGAGCACTGCGTCTTAGGGAAACAAAAAAAGGTTAGCTTCAGCACTACCAAGCACAAGAGGGGAGGGGTGCTAGACTACATCCATTCAGATTTATGGGTCCCTCTAAGCTTCCATCGAAAGGAGGAAAGAGGTATCTTCTCACATTTATTGATGATTTCTCTTGAAAGGTTTGAGTGCGTTTCCTGAAGACGAAAGGTGATGCTTTTGAAGCATTTAAAGAGTGGAATATTTTAGTTGAAAATCAAATGGAGAGAAAAATCAAGTATCTTCGCATAGACAATGGCTTTGAGTTTTGCATTGAAGAGTTCAATGATTTCTGCAAGGTTCATGGGATTGCAAGACATTACACGATCAGGCACACACCACAACAGAATGGAGTCACCGAGAGAATGAACAAAACTCTTCTTGAGAAGGCTCGTTGTATGCTCTTACAAGACAAGATGTCCAAAGTAATTTGGGCTAAAGCAGTTCATACTGATTATCATATTGTCAATCAGTCTCCAGCATCAGCGATTGACTTTAAGACTCCGAATGAGGTCTGGTCAGGTGAACCCACTAACTATTCATACTTTTGAATATTTGGGTGTCCATCTTATTATCATTTTAATGAAGTAAAGGTTGAACCAAGGGCTAAAAAGGCCATATTCATAGGGTATGTAGATGGAGTAAAAGGGTACAAACTATGGTGTTTGTCTTTACTCAAATTTTTAGTTAGTAGAGATGTTACCTTTGATAAATCCTCTATACTTGATCCTCGTAAAGTTTCTGTGGAGTTATCAAGAAATGAGAACAACGAGCAGGTGGAGCTATCGGTGGATCTTACCAAGGAACGAGATCAAGAGACTCAAATTGAAGAGTCAAAAGATGCAGATCTTGAAGAACTTTTTTCCAATGAACCATACACAGAAAGATATGGAAACCGGAACGTCTTATAGAGCAATAAAATCAATTGCATATGCATTAGTAGCTGCAGAAGAAGATATTAAGGATCTCAAGCCCTCTTCGTATGTTGAAACAACTTATTGCAAAGATGCTGCACAATGACTGTTAGCCATGATGGAAGAGATGGAGTCTGTTCACAAAAATGAGACATGAGTCTTAGTTAAAAGGCCAAAGGGGATGAGGACCACTGGATGCAAATGGCTCTACAGAAAGATAGAAGGTTTTCCAAAAGTGGAAGATGCTAGATTTAAGGCGAGATTGGTTGCAAAGGATTTCAGTCAGAAGGAGGGAATTGACTACAATGAGATCTTCTCTCTAGTCGTGAAACATAGCTCAATTCGCATGCTACTAGCATTGGTTGCACAATTTGATTTAGAGCTTCAACAGCTTGATGTCAAAACTGCTTTCTTACATGGTGATCTAAAAGAGAAAATCTATATGGATTAGCCTGAAGTTCTCCTAGCTAAAGGAAAATAAGACCATGTATGCCAACTAAAGAAGTCTTTGTATGGTTTAAAGCAATCCTCTAAATAGTGGTACAAGATATTTGATGCATTCATGACTACACGTGGATTTTTGAGGAGTGCATTTGATAGCTGTGTGTATCACAAGAAGATGTCTGGTAATTCTATGATTTATCTATTACTGTATATTGATGATATGCTTATTGCTACTAACAACATGACAGAGATAAATATTTTAAAGAAACTGTTGAGCAAGGAATTTGACATGAAGGATTTAGGAGTTGCAAATAAAATTGTTGGAATGGAGATTTCAAGAGAAAATGATGTTGTACATATTTCTCAAAAGAGGTACATCGAAAAAGTTCTTGAGAGATTCAATATGCATATGAGCAAGCCTGTAAGTACACCATTAGCTTCTCATAAGAAGCTTTCAGAGTTACAAAAGCCTTAGTGTATGGACGAGGTGGAGCATATGTCAAAGGTTCATTATGCAAGCGCAGTTGGTAGCATAATGTATGCTATGGTGTGCACACGTCCAGATATTATCAAATCTGTAAGTGTGGTAAGTAGGTACATGGCAAATCTAGGAAAAAGGCACTGGGAAACTGTCAAGTTAATATTGAGATATCTCAAAGGAGCTCCTGTTGTTGGCCTAACATTCTGAAAAGTGAAGGTATTTCGATTCTCGGTTATGTTGATTCTGACTATGCAGGGGATCTTGATAGAAGAAGGTCCACAATTGGATACATTTTTACTCTCGTTGGCAATGCCGTTAGTTGGAAATCTACTTTACAGTCGATTGTTGCTTTGTCTACAACAGAGGCAGAATATATGGCAGCAACGGAGGCATTGAAAGAAGCTATACGGTTGAAAGGTTTGGTGGTATAATTGAGTTCATTTCGGCCTGAACCAATTCTAAGATGTGATAGTCAAAGTGTTATTCATTTGATTAAAAATCAAAGATTTCATGAGTGCACCAAACACCTTGATGTCATATTCCATTTTATTCGAGATGTCGTAGAAGAGTGAGCTATCAAGGTTGAGAAGGTTATCACAGATGATAACGCTGCAGACATGTTGACCAAAATAGTCCCGCTTGCCAAGTTTGTACACTGCAAGGACTTGGCGGGAGTATGTATCAATTGTTGCAACTCTAAGAGAATAACTGCTAGGTGGAGCTGGTATGTTCAACAAAGGTTTGATTCTTCTTGTTTCTTACAACGGGATTGCCCAGTAAGCTTGAAAGTTTTGACCGGAATTGTTTATACGCACACTTGGAACACAAACCAAAGTGCAGATCGAAAAAGTTGGTTTGGTTCTTGTAGAGTCAAACTAAATGGAAGATGAATTAACAAATATTTGGTAGGAAGATAATTAGTACAAAAAAGTCAAAGATAGTATATCTTGGTAGGTAAAGTTAGGCAAACCATAAAATGGTTTCATATTCTTAACTTTGACATTTTTAACATATAGTGATGTCATTGATGACATCAATAGGATGAATTTATTTCTATAAATAGGTAGCTCTTAATTCATTTTCAAATCATCCTCTCACTTGCCTTCTAACCTTCTAAGGTATTTGTGTTCTCTCTCTTGTAATATTTCACTTGTATTCTTTGTAGAGTGAAATAAATATTAGTGCAGTTGTTCTTTGGTGGACGTAGGATCATTTTGATTCGAACCACGTTAAATACTGTTGTTCTTCCTTATTCTTTAATTTCACGTTTCGACTAATATTTACTCCCCAAGTCCTAGCAACAAATGCGTTATATAGTTTAAATTTCCTCTTTTTGATATAATTATTTTTCAATAAAAATATGATGAATATCATATATACATAGTGCAGTTATGATTAAAAATTGTCTATTTATTGTGTTTAATGTTGTTAAATATAATCAAATAATATATTTTATTTATTCATAATTATATAACAATTAATTTAAGTGATTAAGAGAGTGAAATATGATGGTGGATCTATTTGCTAAGGAAGGTCAAGAAAAGATTTTTTTTGCAGCATAGTTAGGAATTGTTTTTACTAAAAGATTTTTTCTATTTTGACTTGTAATAATAAACTTAGCTACACATATCGACAATGTTAGTGCACCGCGATCTTCTTTTTTTAAAAAAAGTTATGAAACATAATTAATATAATTATCTTATTTCAATGGTAAAAAAAAATACAATAAGGAGTTTTACTCTTTAGATTTTTCACAAAGATATTAAAGATGGAATAATTTACGCTAAGATATCATTACTTTTTCTTTTTGCTTTTTGTAAATATCTATTTTTATTGCTATTCTTTTTTTATTATTATTGAAATGTATTTATAAATTTTCTCTTTTTATTTTTTTATTAATTTATGAATGTAATATTTTAGGTTATTTTATTATATTTCTTAGCAATAGATATAACTATGAAACTCTATGTCTATGTCTATATCTTATTTAATTCTGATCGTTGCATTAGTAATGTGATACATCTCTTATGCAGTCAAATTAATTTTTTCTCCTTATTTTTATAGTTTATTTATTTATATTTACAAATAAAATTCATGTATAATAATTATTTTATTTCGTGTCTTGATAGAATTATATATTCAAGTTGTTAGTAACTCATAGGCATCTATGTCTTTAATCTTCTTTGTAGTTTATATTCTTAAATATTAGGGATAACACACATGTATCCTTAGATTATGACTGAAATTTCAGAAACACGTCGAAATTGAACTAAGGTATTATTATGCGTAAACTCATTATTTTTTATATAATTTTCTATCTCTTTTCTATTTATATCAACAAACTCGTTTTTTGTTGTTTTATTGTATAAAAGAATTTGTAGTTAACAAATGTAATAATAAAGACATAACATAGAGGATCATGTGCTTCTACGAAAATAGAGAAAACTCAAAACAAAAATTAATGTATTTAATTTAATACAATAGATTATAATTTCAAAATATGACCTCTTATTTCATTTATTTCACCATTTATATATTATACCCCAAAATTTGTTCCACTGAAAGGTTGTACTTTAAATTGAACTTTTTTTCTTTAATTTTGCATATTTAAAAAAAATCATATCCCGAATGATGACGAAGATCGTCTTCTTTGTTGTTTATCTAAATATAAATATTATACTATTTCATTAAAGTATGAGATTATTAATCCATATATAAACAATGAAATATGCTAATTTTTCTGTTTTATTAGTCAAAAAATACAGTTACATTTAAGTAAGCTCCCCGGCATTTGATTCCTTTATTTATATCAGCCTACTCCAAAGGACAAAAAACATACAAAAACAATGAGGTGACAAGACAAAACTATCACAAGTTACAAGAGTTTTCTTGTAAAACAATGAATTTGAAATTGCTTGATCATAAATTTTAAAGTTAATATTTAAAAATTTTCAAATTTGTGAAATTATGTTTGGACATGTATTTTATTTAAAAAAATATTCAAATTTTGTGATTGAAAGTTCCAAAAATCAGGAAAGTTGATAAAATTAAAGATTAGAAACAATTATATCAAATTTCACGATCAAATAAATATTTAAAATTTATGATCAAACAAGTATTTAACGATAAATTCTCGCCATAATTTATGATAAAATGCTATTGCAATAATCTGTCAAGTTGGTGACATATTTTCGTGAGTTCCTATGGTTGATTTCTTTTATTACCTTTGAATTCTACGTTGTGAATCCCTTTATACGTCTTTAGTGTTGTTGGCACAAATTAAAGGATGTTATAAATTTGTTATACACCAAGTTCAATATAATTCTAAATTAGTTCAATTTCTTTGTTAATTTAAAACACAATGATATCTTGGTATAATATTATTGTAATATTTTTATTTGGTTTGGTCTCGATATTTGTTAATATTGAAGGTCGTAGTATCTCTCAATTCTTAAATCAAGAATCACAAGGAACCAAATGGGCTGTCCTGGTTGCTGGTTCCAATGGCTGGGATAATTATAGGCATCAGGTAAGCATCCTAAATGATATTTTTGTGTGAATTTTGAAAATGAGGTGAATGTTTGACGATTCAGTTGTGGTGATTGAAAGTTGTCTGATAATATCTTCATCAATATTTATTAATTTTCTTGTATTTTTGCGAAACAGATATAAGTTACATTAAATGTAATAGATAAAGAAGGATAATTTCGGAATAGCTTTTAGTATCCTTTAATTTTTTGTATTGTTTAATTTGGAATAGACTATAACTTATTAAAGGATTAATAATTAATGTTGGAATAAGTTATTCCTACCTATTTGAAACAATAATTCTGAAATAACTTATTTGGAGGATAAAATAGTTGAAATGACAAAAATACCCGCTCAAGTCATTTTTTATACATCATTTTTTACATTTGTTACACTTATTGAGGGTATACATATTCTTTTTAATGAATAAACAACTTATTCTTAGAAATTATCCAATACATATTATTTTTAATACAATTAAACAAACATCCACTAAAATAGTACCACAATAACTAATTCCAACGCAATTAATCCCAATATAACAATCTTGATATAACTTTTAATCACCCTTTTTCCTTTATAAAGTTTAGTCATGCACCTAATTCTATAATTCAACTTACTTAGCTACGTTAAAGGTGAAATGTATAGTTGGCTCTCTAATTTGTAGCATGTGTCTATTATTAGTATACAAAATTATACTGACATACGTTACTAGTATACATATTGAAAAGAATTATACTACTAACTTTTAAGTAATTTAAGTCCAACATTTTATGTCATATATTGAATGAAGTTAGAGAAGGTAATAAAAGTCTAAGCATCCATTAAGGACCTAGAATTTCTCATTAAAAAAAGGAATTACTTCAACTACACAAAATGAAGTATAGTACTATACCTTTGAAGTTTGTACCAATTTATAAATCAACTCGGGACTATGTTAATAATAGGGAAAATACACACGCAAATTCTAGAGATACACTTATACCATATTAATGTCCTATTACCTCCCTGAACTTATTTTATAAGTAATTTTCTACCCCTTTTCGGCCTACGTGGCACTAACTTGAAAGAAAAAGTCTAACAACGTTGGACTCACAAGATAGTATCATATAGGCCGAAAAGGGGTGGAAAATTATTAATAAAATAAGTTCAGGGAGTAATAGGACCTTAGTATAGTATAAGTGTGTCTCTGAGATTTCAGATAGGTTAAGAGGATACTTGTGCATTATCCCTTAATAATATATAAAGTGAAATTATTCCTTTACTAAATCCTCCCTTGCTAATCACCATGATATCATGAACAAGATCTTTCTTGATCAATTGTTTTTTCATAAATTAATAAGAAAGATGACAAATAATATCATTGTATTTCCTTTTTTCGTTTGAATCATATCAACTTGGAGAGTGTCTAGATTAAGAAACTTCTCGTATTTAATTTGGACTATCAAAATTGACTAAATGAGAGACATAATTTTCTTTTTAGTCTGTTTCAAAAAAATATATCATCTTTTTATAAATAAAAATAATTTAACTTTAAAATTCACTTTTTACCTTAAATGATATATAGTACACGTAATAGCCAAGTGATTTACACTACATATTTTTTTTTAAAAAAAGTTTGTACGAAATCAAACAGTGTCACGTAATAAATTGATGGTATATATGATTTCAGGCTGATGTGTGTCATGCTTACCAATTACTCAAGAATGGAGGTCTTAAAGATGAGAACATCATTGTATTTATGTATGATGACATTGCTCACAATCGAGAAAACCCCAGACCTGGAGTAATCATCAATAACCCACATGGCAATGATGTTTACAAAGGTGTCCCAAAGGTTTGTTTTTGTTTCCTTCTATTTCTTGGAAATTTTTCAAAATTATTAGAGTGTTTGCTAGCTAGCTTATGAGGGGTTTATCTTCTCTTTTTGTTGAGGCAGGATTATGTAGGTGAAGATGTTAATGCTCTAAACTTTTACAATGTCATCCTTGCAAACAAAAGTGGTATTGTTGGAGGAACTGGAAAAGTTTTGAATAGTGGTCCAAATGATCATATCTTCATCTACTATACTGATCATGGTGGCCCTGGAATTGTTGGTAAGTATCTTCCTCACATTAATTTTGATCTTATACTAAGAACTTGTCTCTTGTCATCATTAGGAAGTCATTGAGCCGATAGATATCTGTTGCTATTTGAAGAGTTCATTTTCTATTTTGTTAACCAATCTGCATGTTGGTTGGCTTCCCTATAACAATGATTAATTCTGATAGTAGCGTGATTCATCTGATCAACAGTACCCTCAACTATTATTGATGAGATTGTTCAAACCATTGACTTAGTCTTTTCCGAATAATGTCTATCATATATTTCAAAATTGACATATGATCATTGGATTTGCAAATATGCATAATTGATTTTCATGTTTTTATTGTTATCAGCAATGCCAAGTGGAGAATTGGTTTATGCAAATGATCTAGTTAACGTGTTGAAAAAGAAGCATGCTTCAGGGACGTATGACAGACTGGTAACTCGGTTTAGCTTTTCAGGCTTTCTTTTCCTTTGTGCAAATGTTTGATCGGTGTGAAATTTGAAGTCTGTATCTTATGTTGCATGATGCTCAGGTGTTTTACTTAGAAGCCTGCGAGTCTGGAAGCATGTTTGATGGTCTTCTCCCCGAAGGACTTGATATCTATGTCATGACTGCATCGGAACCTAATGAAGACAGTTGGGCGACATATTGTGGCGAGGGTACTCCTGAAGAGCCCTGCTTGGTTCAGTGTTCCCCTCCCGAGTTTCAGGGTGTCTGCTTGGGAGACTTGTATAGTATTTCTTGGATGGAAGATAGGTATATACAATTTTTATAACCTCTACTCTCGAAGTCCACATTGTTAGATTCTTGTATTTTGTTTCTATAATTTATATTTAGAAATGATGTATTATGTCAAACTTATTATTGTTTGTGCCTATGAATAGTGATATACAAGATCGAACAGCTGACAGCGTGCAAGGGCAGTATAGTAGAGTAAGAGTTTAAAATGTTATGCACAAATATTGCATGTGCTTTAAACAATTTGTTTATATGATACATCTATGCTTTCTCTTATTCAATTTTAGTGGAAGATCAGATTTATGTTTTTCATTTTGCGTCCTAAGGTTGCAAACAGAACTGCAGCCAACATAACACATGGTAGCTATGGCTCTCATGTCACAGAATACGGTGATATAGTGGTGAGTTTTGATTCTCTTGCCGCGTATATGGGTGAGAATTTCAAAAATCACAGTCATGACTCTGTGGATGCCAAATCATTCTCGACATCATCATCAAGGAATGTGGATCAGCATAGTACTGAACTTTTCTATCTGTTCGCCAAAGTAAGTTCCTACCTTTTTTTGATGGAGAATTCATCTTCCTACACATGATCAGTAATTTTCTTTCTTAATGTTTGCAGCACCGAAAGGCTCCTGAAGGCTCCAATGAGAAATATGAAGCTCTTGTGAAACTAAATGAAGTTAAGTCACAGAGAAGTCAAGTGGACTACAATGTAAAACATCTGGGGGAGCTTCTTTTTGATGTTGAAAAAGGTAACGAGGTACTAAACAGTGTTCGACCTGCCCGACAACCACTTGTTGACAACTGGGATTGCCTTAAGTCATATGTAAGTATTTAATTAACATGGCGATACAAGCAATATTTTCAGTTCAATTTTATTGTTATGTTCTTTTGATGAGAATATGACTGCTCTGTTTATGCAAATAGGTCAAGATATTTGAGGCACATTGTGGAAGATTAACAACGTATGGAAGGAGACATGTACGTGGTATCGCCAACATCTGCAATGCTGGGATTACGAATGAGAAAATGGTTGCTATGTCTGCACAAGCATGTTCAAGTTAGTAGAGAATACTGCGAAGGAGCAACTATACTTCTGTTTAGTTGATAGCTACATTCAGAAAAAGGCTGCTTAGAATTGCAGATCTTTTCCCAGTATTCATGTACTAAAGCTTTATTTTCTCAATAATGATGGCCTTTTGATATTTTTATGCATTTACCAGTATTGTTAAGTTCCATCCAAGTTCAATTTTGTTTGTTAATTTGGATGAAATTGATGAAGCCTTTAGCCGCTACTGCATGCATATAAGATGAGAATATTTTATATAATAGCAAACTATTAAATTAAATTTAATGCTATAAATATAGTTTGATTTAATTCTACCCCATAACAAACTGTTGCTATTTCGCCTCTCTCTTGGTGGATCTGTCATTCTTTCTCTTGCCTCTCGCTTTTTATACAAACACAAATGTATAAAATGCATTTATGTTTGTATAAAGCGAGAGAAAAATGTATATATACATATATTTTCGTTCTCATCTCTCCCCTCTCCCAGATTTCGATCACCACTCCCGGATCTCGTTCGTTCCCACTAGCCTCTCTCACTTTATACAAAAATGTAAATATATAAAATGTGTTTGCGTTTGTATAAAGCGAGAGAAAATTATATATATATATATATATATATATATATATATATATATATATATATATAGACACACACACACACACACATATATATATATATATATATTTATTTATTTATTTATTTATTTTTCGTTCCCCTCTCTCCCCTCTCCCAGATGTCGCTCGCCACCCTCTCAATCTCTCTCCGTCACTTTATACAAACACTAATGTATAAAATACATTTTTGTTTGTATAAAACGAGAGAAAATTATCTTTAAAAATTCAAATGCATATATTTTTCGTCATATACACTTATGATTATACAAATACGATCTTCCCCTGCCTAATTTTCTTTTGTCTTTCTTTAATTCTCGCTTTATGCAAACATAGACTATACGGTTGATCTTTTGTATATGTATACCAAAGCAAATTATACAACTGTTTCTTTTGTATATATATAGCGAAATTATACAATTACATTCTTTTGTATATGTATAGCGAAATATACATATTTATGTTTGTTATGAGGTGCAACTATGCAAACTATAACTACAACATACAAATATGATTTTTGTGTTTGTTATATGTGAAAGTTGCTTTGTGTAGATCCCATCAAGTCATTAACCAGAGTTATTGTACATAATTCAAGCCCTTCTTATTTGATTCTTTTCTTTTTTAAAAATAGTAAGTGAAGAGAGTTGTATAAGATCGTAATTTTATCAATGTATTCGGTATGACGAAGAATGTTTGCCAAAAAAATAGAAAAATATATATGTCCATATTGTAGACAAAGATCTAGTCTTATTTGTCCTTTGTATAAATATTAAATGCAATTTCATTATGGGTGTGTTTGGTACGAAGGAAAATATTTTTTTGAAAAACAAGTGAAATTCTAACTTATTTTCTCATTTTTGATTGGTGAATAAAAATTATTTTTTAATGTGTGGTTGGTGAATGAAAAATTTTTTCCAGAAATTTTTTTTTTTTTTGCTAGAGACTAGAAAATTATAATCTTTTGAAAAATGATTCTTGATCCAAAAATTAACCCCGATTATTGATTTAGGAACCGACCCTAACGCCCGAATTAGGACAAGACCCCATTGTCTGTTCCAAAATTTGATCATGAGATCTGACGCCGACCTGTCAAACTTTTGTCCCAGGAAAATATTTTCAAAAGCAATTTTTTATTCAAAAAAAACTTTTGATGAGGGGAGGGGGGGGGGGGGGTAAGGGGGGTTGCATAAAAAGAAAATTTTTTTGAAGTATTTTTCAAAAAGATTTTTTTTTAAAAAATATTTGACGGGATGAGGGCGGCGTGAAAATGATTTTTTCAAAAAAATTGAAATATCATCCAAATCAATTTTTTTGTTGCTTTTAGGTGGGGGATGGCGTGCAGGGGGGGGGGGTAGCGTAAAAAATGAAATATTTTCCAAAAATACATTTTAATAAATTGACGGGGTGGCTCAAAATATGATTCTTTTTCAAAAATAATTTTCTTTAAAAATTATTCTTTGGGGGGGGGGGGGGGGTGGTGGTGGTGTTGGTGAGGTAAAAATTTTAAAAAAATTTGAAGGTCAGAGTAGAGTTTTGGAAAAAGTTTTCTTTAATTTTTATCCTTAAATTTGAGGAAAATGACTTGGTCTGGAAAATATTTTCCAAAATATTTAAATCAACCAAACATGGGAACCAAACACATCTTACATCTTCTTAGCATTTCCTCAAGTACATATTTAGATAAGTGACACTTGTCATATTTATAATAGAGAAAAAGGTTGAGATATATCCGAACTTTGACCGAAATTGTTATAACAACCTGAAACTTTGGGTACGACCTATTACTCCCTGCACTATTTAATAATGTATTTCAAAGATATATAGGTGACAACGTGGGCATCATAAATATTGCACCATTATAAATAGTAACTTGTCCTGCTGGGCATTTATATAGAGAGATAAGACATAAGTACCTTCCTAGACTATGACCATAATCTCAAACACATACCTGAACTTAACTAAGATCTTATTACCCATGAACTCATTTTTTTCTTATTTTTTTGTAACACCTTTTTTTGAGCTAAGACCCGAATTATCCTTCGTTGTAAGTAGCATGTTACCGAGGAATCTAAAATTTCTTGAGTGTTAAGGTGTAACAACCCTAAAAAATGAAATGGATGAACTAGAGCCTCATGTGTTTTTAAGATTTAGTAACTTGTTTATAGGATGTGTCTCAAATTGTATTGGTTGGTTTGAAGAGGTTTGAGGTCAAACGTCAAAGGACGACCAAGACGTCTGGACTCTAGTCGTTTGTGTGCTAGTGTGCCTTTGTATGTATGTCTTGTGTTGAAGGGTTGTTTGGAGCCTAAAATGATAGGTTGGTACCCTAGTATCTATATGGTCGTGTTTAGGGTTGAAACGTCTGGGTATAACTCCCAAGGACCACCCTAAGGCTCCTTGAGGAGCCCACGTATTGGCTAAAAGCTGCAAAGGCAGCATTGAACCACAACTGCAAGTGACACCCCTTCAACCAAATTACACCCCGTCAAAAGGGGGCGTGTCTCCACACTTAGTTGTGGGGCTTATACTCCATATAAAGGATCCTCTAGCCAAGACGACGAAGCACTAGGATGTGCCATCGTTCAGTCGACACTCTCTTATTGGTGTCTGTCGATAGCACCTGCGATTCACTATTAAGTCACGGCCGATTCACCCTACATCCAAATTAGAGGGTGGACCAGTTATTTTACCTATTTTGTGGTATTTTAAGTTAGTTAAAACAGTGAAACCCCAAATTAGAATTCATTCTTGAAATTAAACCCTCTTTCTCAAATAAGATACTCTCATGAACTCCATTGGAGATCAAGCTAGGGGATGGATTTCCAAGTGATTTATTCTCCAAATTTAGTGGGATTTTCTTGTATTAAGGTATGGTAACCCTTGATCCTTGGATAATATTTCATCCAACGAGTTCTATCAATGTTTTTTCCAAAGAGTTTCTATGATCAAATTCCCAAATTCGAATCTAAACATGGGTTCATTTTCAAATGGTTTTCAAAGTCATTCTAATGATAAATTGATGTTGGATCAAGTTTTTCAATATGATTTTCAATTAAATTCCTTGAAGAACCTCATGATCTCCGTAATCTATCAATTTAGCCTATAAAATGGGTTTTGTGATCTTTATTAGATGTTAATAGAAATATGTTTAGATTGTGATGTATTGTTGAATGCTATTACTATATTAAGTTATGGATTATGAATTATTAAGGATTGATCTATGTTTATCATTGCTTGGAGTACTAGTAAGTTGACCTAACTTCTTGTCTATAATATTGGAATCAATGTTGTATGGTTTGGTCCACTTATGGTGGCGGTGTTTACTTATTGTCTATCTATACATGTTGTGATCATTGTTTTGCGGGAAATAGATGTAAAGTGAATTGATTATGAAAGATCATGAGTATAAGGTTATGTATGTAGTCCTCAATGCTAGTATCATGATTAAGGTGTATTGATAATGTGAAGTACAATGTGAATAAGGATGTTAGGGTAAGGTATGGTCTACATGCTTGATTATGATAAGTACTGTTGTAAAATGACCCCTACCTATGTAACCCTATATATATGTGTGATCCTTTACATTTTAGGAGTATTCTATTCAATATTGAATGTGTTCTTGTCTCCTATGATGAAATGTGTGTGTGTGGTCTATATTCCTTAAATGCTTTATATGTAAGTTGTTCATGACTTGAGGGATATTGCAAATGTGTTGTGGTCCCTTGTAGGGAGGTTTCCTCCATAACAATGATGTTACTATTATGTGATCATGATGACCAATATACATACACTCCATGCATAACTATGAGTATAATATGTTTAGGGTGTCAACTTAAAGGATAATTCTTATATGCACGTTTATATCTTATTATGCATGAAAAGTATATGACTAATGAAGTATGAACATGTATTGTCTAAAGGTGTTTATGTGAAAGGATTTCTCGCGTATGTATACAGACACACATGAATGTAGAAATGAATAAGGCTATGATAATCTAGTGAAAGTGAGTCTCTTGAAAAGTTTCCTTGATTGTACTCCAAACTAGACTATGTTATGAATGTTATGATTATGTGAAAGGACTTCCTCACATACTGTGGTTTCTATGATGAAAGGTCATTCTCATCTTATAAACCTTTGTGCTATATGATGTATGAGGGAGTAAGTCCCTAAAGCCTACTTTATGAACTTATGATAAGAAAAGGCTTAAAGATATTAAAGAGGGAGTTCAAGTTTAGCACCGAGTGGATATGTACAATGAGGAAAAAACTCTCCGCTAATGCAATAGGTTAGGTAATATAAGTGATAATCATGATATGGGTGCATCTACGTTAATGCAATAGGTCAGGTTTCTAGAAGCAATATAACCATTCCTTAACTATGTGCCCCTGTATGTTCCAGCTAGTGGATCCACCTAGATAGCTATTATGTAGTAACTACCTTGAAAAATAGAACAACTTCTTTAAGTGTGGGGTTGTATGACACTAGATTCCATGTACCTCACATTATCTATGTCGGTAATGGCTAAGAAATGAACTAAGATAAGGTTATGAACATTGGTCTGATTCCTTGAAGAGCTACTTAGATAAGGTTGGACTATGGACCCTACTTATGTATTGCACAAGTGG